TTGTGTTTTTTAGTATTTTGTGTAATTTTTTTATTAATTAATTATTCATTTTTTAAGGAGGATGGGGCTCCCGGAAGCTCAACCTTATTCCACCTGATGAGAGTGGGTACAGTGCCAAGCATTTGAAGGCAGCAACACAAGGTTTTAAAGGAATGCTTTACATAGCTCCTCTTCAAATGGAACTTGACACCACTGCTCTGCCACCTGAATCTGAAAGCTTTAATGACATGTCAAAAGAGAAATGCCAGAAATGTGGAATCACTTATCCATTAGTCATCCTGACTGCACTTTGGAAGTTTAATAAGGTATGATAAATATTTTTTTTAAACAGTTTTTTAGAGCTGCTTTTGGAAACAGCTAATTATCTAAATAATTCTGATAACACATTGTATTTCTCTGTGTTTTTGTTTCTTGCATATGCAGGTTAAAGGGAAAATTCTGTCTTTTAGTCTTTCATGTGTCATTCATAACCTGTATAACTTTAAAACACAAAAAATAATTCAATAAATAATTGGAAGATTTTTTTTTCTTCACATCTAATGATCAGTCTTCAGAATATCTTGTTGTCCCATCCATGGTAAAGAAACTCACACATGGTTGAAACAACATGAAAGAAAAGTTGTATTATATTGTTTTTGTTTGTTTCCTCTAGGCAACTTGCCCCATCTGTCAAAATGAAATGCCTCTTGATGTGATAGAGATTCATGCAAGTTTTTGCACAGGTGACAGGTGAGGAAAATAATTGTTTTTTTTAAAGCACACAACATATATCCAGTCAATTCAGTGATTTTTATTTTTGTTGTTTTTTGTACTTTCATTATGTGTGCTGTTAGGATTGCTGCAGGTCTTCTTCACTATACAATTGTGAATTGAATATTGTGTTTTATGTTAAAATTATGAATGTTCAATTCATTTAGAAATTTTGAGGTTATCCAGTTATAAAGGACTTTTGTTCCTTCATTGCACACAAGTGTGGTAATGAAGTCTGTGTATTATATTGTAAGCACGCCACCTCTGGAATTCAATGCGTCTATGGAGGAACCATCTACATCTGCATTTTCCGTGCCTGTGACACATACCGGTGATCATTCAAATGCAGCTGAAGCCACAAGCATGAGTTATGGTATGCATTTCTTTTTTTCTTTTTTTTGGAACTGATAAGCATAATACATTTCTGAGACGTAAAACTGAAATAGAATACACAATTAGCTTTAGCTGAACTGTTGACATGTTGCTTTTGTGTTTTTTTTTGTTGCAGATTGGAAAACTGAACCAGATAAAAATAAAGCAGCATCCTTATACACAAAGGAAATAATTTGCCAACATGAGATGAGAAAGCCCCTCTTGATGACCATGGATTTGAGGATGGTCAAGGAAGATCAAGACAGAGAACTTGTTGCATTCTACAAACAAAACGGCATAGAATGGGCAAGCCCTGTGAAGTGCAGACGCCAAGGTGGTATTAAACAAGTAAATACAGTACATTTATTTAGTGGCATTCCTAGTTTGGTTTTAATGGCCATGTCTCTCTCTCTCTCTTTTTTTTTTTTTTTGGACTGTTGCTGTAAATTGCTGTTACATTCAGGGGATGCTGCCATTGGTGAGGGAGTAACCAGACATTTCTTGTCTACTGTTATACAAAGGCTTCAGCATGGATTTAATTTTAACATGGGTATTTCAGCTATTTTTTTATGGACCATTGACTATAGTATTTTGTTTAATCTTTGAATCCAAAATATAACTTTTAGCCCATTATTTTAAAACAGGAAATACTGCAAGGACCTGTCTCTTTGACGGTGAACCAGGTCATCTTGTTCCATCATCATCACAATTTCTTGTAGAGTGATCTGTTCCTTGTTGCAGGACAAATGATTTGACATTCTTTCCTACATGGTGGACCTCGGCTGGCTGGAGTCAGCCAAGCAATAGTCCATGTACTACTAGGAGGTTCACCTGAGACTGCTACAGTGCAAATAGAAGACTGTCCTGACCATGATATTCGTGAAACCATAAAACTGGTATGTACATTATACATACATACAGTAGCATAATTTAGCTGTAATTTAAACAATTCATAATTTCATTCATTTTTTTTTTTTTTTACTTTCATTTATACTGTTCTACATGGAGTTTGATGGAGAGGCTGAACTCACTAGCAGTGAATATCAAGCTGTCCTTGACCTGAGTCTTGCGTGGGATCTTCCTAGCCCAACCAAAGAAACTCGGAAGTGGCTTTTTGAGCGCCTTTTATCAAATGTGGTAGTGTTGTTGTTGTTGTTTTTCTTTTGTTTAATTAACCTTCAAACTTAAGCATTGGTGTACTATAATATTAATTGTATTCATGTAACCTTATAATCTAATATATGCAATACAATAGGTCATTGGAAGGAGATTACGGCAGGTGAAACAAATACGTAAAGGACTCAAAGAAACCAGAGAGTGGCCACTGCTGACTGAAAGGAAAGATCTTTCAGAGGGAATGTGAAAATTCACTCCCCCCTTTAGTAAGTTTAATTTGGTTTTAAAGTGATGTGCATATAGTTCTGTTGCAACAGAAATGTATAATTGTTTCCAGATGCTGCTTCTCTGTATCTGCTGGCCCTCTGATAGCAGTGTGGATGATGATGATGATGACGACGACCACGATTGTTCACTAGAAGATAGATGTCGCATCTCAGGGAATTTGCGTCACGTCATTGAGACATGTATAAATCTTTACATTTGTTTTATTAGGTCTGTATGAAATGTACTTGATACAGTTTGCTGGATTTTACAACACTGGGCATATGTTAGATGACCTGGATTAAATCATGGAGTGGTGGCAGGGATGACATCAGAAACTGAAGAAACTCATCATAAAAGCCCATAGGAAAATCTTGTGGGAACCAGAGGGTGGTGTTTTGCCATCATACTTCCACTACTCTATTTCTCAAATTAGAAGCTTTTTTTTTTCTTCTTTGAACTGCCCTTGATTGAAATGTAAATATATATATTTTTTGCTTTATCTAGCATCCAGCTCTGACCTTAAGAACTTGGTGAAATTTTGGCTGGGGTGGGAAGTGCCAGATAGAAAGATGGTAGTGGAAGTTGTTACTGCTGACATGCCGAAGTCCTCCACTTGCTTCAACATGCTACGATTACCAAGTCATTACATGGATTTCAGCCATTTTAAGGACGAGCTCCTTAAGTGCACTGGCACGTCTGAGATTGGTTTTGGGCTTTCATAGTTATGTGAAATTGAATACAGTAAGGCTGGGGTGGGAAGTGCCAGATAGAAAGATGGTAGTGGAAGTTGTTACTGCTGACATGCCGAAGTCCTCCACTTGCTTCAACATGCTACGATTACCAAGTCATTACATGGATTTCAGCCATTTTAAGGACGAGCTCCTTAAGTGCACTGGTACGTCTGAGTTTGGTTTTGGGCTTGTATAGTTATGTGAAATTGAATACAGTAACACAGACACCATGTCTATAAATTAAGTTACAGTACCACAGTTTGTTCATATATCAAACTAGGTTATATGTTATTAAATTGCACATAGGCTATACATCAGATTATTTTATTTACAAGTTTCATGTTTGTGTTTATCCCGTTTTTTTCCCCCATGGCATCTGAAAATTACTTTAAGAAAAATTTTTTTTTTCAAAGCAGCCCAATTAATTTTTGATAAAAGTTTATAAATCTAAATGTTTTGGCTCAAAATATGACATACATTTAATAAAGTTTGAAAAATGGGATTACTTTAAGGAGTCAAATTTTGCCCTCTAAGGTTAATTTCTGTCATTGATCAGACGGTGTTCCTTAA